TACATACTCACATACTTACATACATACATACATACATACATACATACATACATACATCCATGCATGCATGCATACATACATACATACACATTATATCTAGCTGTATATATATGTATAATAACTATAACTATACATATATATATATATAATGTCTAAACAAAATAAAACGATGTTTATGTAAACATGTCTCAGGTGCAACATGAAGAATATGGATTGCCGGAGTGCTGTGTCGTCCTCTATATGGGCAGAAGGTAGGAATGTGTAGCACGATGCTATCACGTACAGGGCTGTGGTGCTTTGCTTGTGTCCGAACCCCCAAATTCAGCTATTCTAAACCTTCGGCCCCGCACAGGACACAGGAATCCAAACGGACCAAGTGCTTCCGAAGCCAAGAAATTTTGTATCAGGATGCCGTCCAAAGCTGATTTTGTACGTACAAGGCTTGCAGCACGTGGCACTCGTTCCAGATTGCAGGCATGCAGCGCACGCACGGGAAGCTGTCGAATTCGAAGAAGTCGCTGACAACCATGCAGATGCTGTGCTCCTGCCTTAGTCACATGAGCCTGCCACCCTGTTCACGGTGACACTGCTATACGAGGGCCTGAAATTAAGGAGAAGAATCTGGTTTTGGGGTAAATACTTACAGAATAAGGACGTGACTATAAGGGAATATGACCAAATATGCAGACTCCGAACACATGACATCCAAATACTCATATAAGGACCAGAGGGGGATAGTTTTGCTGCTTATTCAAACCCCTGTAGAAATTAAACCGAAACACCGGAACTCTAACCCCAATCCGGCTAGCTGCACACAGCAGTCAAGTTGCGCAAGGTACTCGGCGAGGGCGGCGGCCGACTTCAGCTGGGGTGAGGCGTTGCCGGCGACTCCACCTGAGTGCAAACAGTTGCCATCGCTTTCGGGTTCAGGGACGTGTAGGGTTCAGGGCTTGTAGGGTTTCGGGTTTATGGTTCATGATGGTTTAGGATCCAAGAAACGCTGGATTGCGTAGGCCCGGGTAACTGCTTGCATAGCACCTTCCGCTCTCTGCAGCCAGGGCACCTAGCGGGAGCTTCAGCCGCGCGAAGACCACGGTTGCACGCCAGCTGGCGAGGCGATCGTTGTGCCGATGTTGGTTCAGAGGATAGAACCACTGAGGTAAAGACTGCAGTACCTGGGCATGAGGTATGTAAGTCGATTACGCAAGGATTGCTCGATACGGTGGCTTTGCATTCAGGTGGCAGACTGCAAGACTGGGTAGTTCTTCGCCGCAATGTCGCGGTTTCGCGACAAGAAGGAATCCGGATTGCGCAGTGCGATTATGGAGAGGATCTCGCTGTGTGGAGGTAGGCACAGCGTGGTGTAGTCCTCAGCATGCAACCCTTCACCCGATATCCGCTCCTTGCATCGAGCACGGTTGCCAGCAAAATGCGCGGTGTCTGTTTTTCACCCTGCTGCCGTAGGTGATCGAACCGAACATTTTGCCATGGGGGACTAAACCCTAAACCCTAAACCCTCTTTGGCAACACGCTGCGGCGCAACCCATACGACACATCACACGAATCGAGCGACCACACAAGCTTCGACCTACAGTGGTCCGCAACGAATCTATCATGGGCCCATGACTTCGGTTGTAATATAGGGACCTTAGCAGATGCTTATAGTGTAACTTATCAAAATAATGATAAGGGCCCCGGGCACGGGATTGGTAGTTATTCCATACATGCATCTGCATCGTTCATGAGCCAGGCAGCGCGCAAGGAGGTGATGCTGTCAAAGTGTTTCTTGTCGGAACCTCAAACAGCCCCGACAAGACACAAACAGAAGCAACCAAGTTGCCGGGGCGATTGCAAGAGTCAAAGAGACGAAGGAAAGGCCATGTAGCATGGCACCAGCATGATGGCATGACGAGAAGACGACGGCAGGAAGACCGGGAGACAGAAAGATCGCAAACAAAGACATGAGAAGGACATGCCTGTGCTATGTACTGACACGGACAATTGCACGACAGGAATAGGCAATCCTGCCAGCATTCTCGCTGTCACTGCTTTACTGCTGAGACTAATGACCAGGCTGAACACTGCCATGAAACCACAACCAGTACTACTGATCTTTCTAGCAGTTGGTATTGTGGTTACCACACATCTACTTTGTTCGAAGCAGCCGCGCCGCCGCTGCTGCGTGCATTCTCAACTTGTTGGTGCTCTATGTCTTGATCGTGCTGAAGGCCTTCACATGTGATTGCAACGATGACTAATTCTGCAAGCGGCTGCGTCTTAACGCTTGAAAACCTACGTACAAACTGGACTTCGATTGCAGGTGCTGCAGAAACACAGTCCCAGCCGGGGAGCATACCAGCCAGCCCATGCGCAGTCCAGGCATCCCCCATGGCTTCGATAAGCCAGACCTTTATGCTTATGGGGGGCATCATGGCTCGCCAAACCCTGAAGTACTAAACCCTATAAGGCCCTAACCCTGAACCCTAAACCGCTTCCGAGACCATCCATCGATCTTTGGAACTAGGCTGCTATGGGCATGGAGGTTTGGGATTCAGGGCTGATAGGGTTTATGGCATCGGTTATAGGGCTTGGGTCAACCACCTACAACCCTAAATCTTCGACCCTGAACGCATAAGACGAGCGCCGAGCGGCAGTACTACGGCATTCCTCTTGCCCACCATGCTCGGCGCTTGTGGACCGAGCATATCACCATACCTCAGCAGTCTTTGCAACCAGGACGTTTCATGCGGGCAGGGTGGAATTACGCGGCTGAATCTATACTTCGAAAATATATTTCTCGAAGTCACGACTCAAAGACAGCCACGGTCATCGTTATGTTCATCAACATCACCAACACCATCACCATCACCATCGCCATCACTGTCACCACCAGCACCACCGCCACCACCACCACCACCACCGCCACCACCGCCACCGCCACCACCACCACCCCCGCCACCACCACCACCACCTCCTCCACCTCCACCTCCAGCTCCAGCACCAGCACCAGCTCCAGCACCGCCACCAGCACCAGCACCAGCACCAGCACCAGCATCACCATCACCAGTATCACTATCACCATCATCATCATCATCACCATCATCATCACCATCATCGTCATCATCGTCATCCCTCACCAGATAGCTGGCACGCCCGAAGCCGCGAGGGCAAAATCTGGGAGCACAGCTGCAAACAGGAAAACATAAGCAGCGTCAATGGAGGTAGTTCTCTAAATTAGGGTCCATTTTTAGGGTGGGTTTCTATGAGGGTTTCTATAAGGGTACTTTACGGGCAGTTCTCTAATTCAGGATCCCTTTTTCGGATAGATCCCTTCAAGGGTTTCTATAAAGGTTTCTTTAAGGGCATCATGCAAGTAGCTCTCTCAATTAGGGGACCTTTCTAGATCCCCAGGATAGTAATGCACCCTGTATAAAAAAAAGAAAAGTATCCTAAAAGGGACCCGAGTTAGATAACTCCCCAGGGAGCTGCCAATGCACCGACGGCAAGTGCAGACCTGGGTCGTTGAGTATCGAAGTCTGGAGCATTAGTACCACTATTCCTTTTAAGGGCTTTCGGGTTTAGGGAATATAGTTAGCACCACTATTCCTTTTTAAGGGTTTAGGGCTTAGTATGTCGATATGACATATAGGATGCACGTCATCCTTCAGCCTCACCCCTAAGAGTTAACACCCCAGAAACCCTAAGCCCTAAACCC